GAGAGAGGATCGTCACTAATTTCAAAAGGTATGTAGTGCTACTGCAAACTGAAAGCCATTCATCCAAAGACTGTTGCTATAATCCCCAGGAGGATGCTTCCACGCCACTTCAATGGTGCACTCGCTCACCCATCCAGCACTTGCACAACAATTTTTGCGGAACTCTTAACCAACTGGTGCATAGAATGTTTGGTTTACAGAGACTGCATTCATTGCACAAATTTCGCCTCAGCCGTTCATATCGATCTTTGTTCCATTCCAAACTTGTGCATCCATTTGGAAGCCGTGCTTGTTTACTGCCATTGTGCTACTCTGTGTCGTGCTTTGTTTTCATGCAATTCGTGTTGCAGTAGGAGACCTTTGCATCATTTTCAAGGAATGAAGAAGTTGGCCAAGGGCATAGAAGAGGAATTGGGACAGCAGCGTTGCCGAAGGAGCACGAATAGCTGAGCAACTCACACTCAAGCTCCCCAACATGGCACAAGACATGCAGGCACACTGATCTCATGTTTTGATACAGATCACTGGAGCGGGTTTAGTCAGTACACAATTACAGCTCACCTGCTGGCCCATAGAGCGAAGGCGGCTCAAAACAGACAGCACCACGCCCGTCAACAGCTCCAACTGCTTCTTCGCAACCATCTCGGACTCAGATGCCAGGCCCCCGAGTGCTCTCAGCAAACAACGCGCCTCTTCAATTGATGCAGCCCCTGACACCCTGTTCACCAATCTGGGCACCACCTGCTCAGAAACTTCCCTTTCCCATTTGGCCTTGCACAACTCCTGCAGTCCTTGAATGCTGAAGTCTTGGAGCTCTTGAAGGTTTTGATCTGACCTTTGCAAACAATCTGAACTGTTGTTAATGCACTCCCTACTGTGTTCTTACTGTGTTTCCTGAATTTGAAGCCACAGGCAGACAGGCAACAATTTTCAGATGTGTCAGAGGTGTGGTTCTGGAAGGGAGAAACCATTGGTGCCATTCAGCATACTGAATTTTAACTGCAGCGCACAGTACAGCCAAGGAAAAGGGACTTCACAACACGACCTTAGGATGCCTGTCTTCAGCTCTTTTCCTGCCATGGTCAATCACATCCTTGATAGGCAAACCAGTGGCCACATTACCTTCTCCATCAGATAATGGCCGTCCAGCAAACAGAGGCCCCATCAGCTGCACCAGATGCTGGCCCCTGTCTTCCACAGTTACAACCTTCAGGTGGCCAGGGAAGCACAGCAACTCCAGAGATACAGCCATGCACAGCTCAGCCACGCATGGCACGCCATCCTCCTCAGCAACCCCACTCAAGCTCGGGAGGTGCGAAAGTACTTCCACAATCCTCTTGAGGTCGGCTGCCACTGTGCATACACAGCACTCTTGCCAATCCCTCATCTGGCAGGCGACACGGGCAGCGTGCAGCAGTTGACAGAGCACCCAGAGCTGCAGTCGCACAAGCGCTGCCTGCTCTTTGCCAGTCGCCACAGAGCTTCGCTCGCAATGGTGTCGGGCCCACTGGCCCACTGCTTGCACAACGGGGATGAAGACGATCATGAAGACCTTGGAACAGGAAAAGGGTGTGCCAGCACAGACCTGAATGCACATGCATCATCAAAGGCTTGTACCTTCTTCACTGGATTCGGAATCAGGTGACACAGGACTACTGCGATTTGCTACGCTACCACTCTTCCAACCACCCCCCGCCCCCTTCATTGTATATCATCCAAAACACTCTTCCAGAGCCTTGCACCGCCTTGCACCGTCTTGTGAGGCAACATGAGACTCACATCTTCTTCCACAAGGATGGGAGTGACATGTGAACAAAGGGGCAACATTGTGAGAAGACAGTGACCTTTGTCCCTGGACAAGTGATTCAACAGCATCACAGAATGTTACCAGAGAGAATCACCCAAATCAACCAACCACCACATCATAACCCCCTTTTGGCCTTGAAGGTCAGTTTGTCGGTATCGAAATCCAGAATACCTGTAAACAGTGAACTACACCGCAATTTGGGAAAAGCATATCAACGAACGATGATGATACAATGGGCCCACTATGCCCCCAAGTATAGCAGCAACGTTCCTTTGGGAAGCATTCCAAATTGTGTTAATGTAAACTTGGTCCTACACTAGAGGGTTGGAGGTGCAATCAATTCTGTACAACCGAGAAGCCTGGCACCAAAAATCAGCACTTGAGCACTGCATGTTTCACATTCTAGAGAGCTCCAACTTGGAGTTAATGCTTTGGCACTGGCATGGGCAAAAGATGTGCAACATACCGCTGCCAGCACTTTGGTAATTCTCTTCACATTCTCTACAGCTCCATCTGGAAGTGGAGACTCACGGCCCATGTCGAGGATGGCCAGCAGATCCTGAACACATGCGTCCGACAAAATGATGTCTTCCAAGCCTTCGTGAGAGTCGCTCCTTGCGACATCCTGTGGCACAGGCAACTGTCCACCCTGAACATGAACATTGCCTGAAAGCTGAAAGGGTAGTACATAGTGGACGTTCGAAAAATGTGACAGAGGCTTACTCCCATGAATGTCAACGAACGCTGTATGCCATTTTGGAGGTATGGTTTGCTGTGTAAGCCCTCTGCTGCTCTTGCTCGCTCTTTCTACTCTTGTCACACGTGGGCAATTACAGTCTCTAATCATGCACATGGCACCCGTGCCATGCCCCAAGTTATGCGCAGGTGAACAATGGCGACCACAATTAGGGATGGGCTTCAAAGTTATTGACCCATGCAGATATCCACGAACTCAGATTGGAGACTCAACATTCTGCAGTGTTCATGTGTCATCTGACCAACAGAAACCAGAGCAGCACAAGCCCACACTCATGCCCTCCATTCTGAAACAGAGCTATCAAACCTGTTGCAAAATGGGTCTCAGCGCGACAACTAGTTCCCCAGCTCTTGAATGTGGTGGCCTCTTGACTGCAGAAGGTGGTGTCATCTTTCTGGAAATCACGATTTGCCTTCTTCCAGAGCAGGCATTGTGTTGACGTGGTGACAAAGCCAAAACTGAGTTTGGTCAGTTTGATACCACAAATTTCGACAAAAGCCAGCTGTGACACAACAGAAGGTAGCATATTTTGGAATGTGTGTCAGGTGTGCACACCGGTGAACATTCCATGTGGTGATAAGTGGTCAGTGATAAGTGAAACTGGCAGGGAACAATGCACACAATGCTGTGCACAGGGCTGGGGATAGTTCTGATCCAACTTTGTTTGGTTGCTAATTTTTCCCATGCCTGGGGCAGCAAGTGGTGACAGCACAGACAAGAAGTGCACAAGCACTGCATTCGACACAAAAGTTTCAACAGCTTGAGTACACCACCCACCTGTCCCAGGGACTGGACGCCGCGTGTCAGGCAGCTCAGTGCCTCCCCTTGAAGCTCCTCCCCAGTGTCCTCCCAATCGTTGCCCACAAATGAAGGCATCAGCTCTCGTCGCAGTGCTGACCACACGGCAGATAGGCTGTCAGCCATGGCGCTCCTTCCATACGACTCCAAGCAGAGGCCCAGGCAATCGAGGGCATCTGCCTTTGCCTGTCTGGTCACAAGCACAGGGGAATATAACTTCTCGTGTTGTTAGAAGCCACAATTTCTTCAGTGCCGCAATGTACTTATTGCAGCTTTGCTATTTACTTCTATTTACCATCTACTTGAAGTAGATCACTAGCTACATCATTTTTTGCAGCCACAATGCAAACCGTGACGCATTCTTGGCCTCCACCACTGCTGTTAGCAGACTCTAATGAGCAGCATCGTTCAGGTTGCTGAGAGGCTAGTCACAAAAATGATAATGTTGTTCAATGCAGCCTGATAGAATTGCAATATTTCCTCCCATAGAGCCGGAAACGAGACATTAGGGCATAGATGCCCAAGTAACACAGATCAAATTGATAGAAAGGTAACACATAATGAACTGAATTGATGGAATCGCTGTACAGCAGAGATGTGTTCATTGACTATCATGGTGACCATAATCAGCTTTCAGCCCATTTGGAACCACAACAATGCTGCTTGCTTTTTTTATCAACATGACAAAGCGAAGGTTGTCCTTAGCATGCATTTTATCCAGGTTACAGATGGGCAAACTCGGCTCCATCTCAGCTTCAAATGGCAGCAAGAACACAGCAGATGCAAGCATTGAGGTCTGCAGAATGTTTGACAGACGAAGCACCTAGAATCTACTGTCGATCAATGGCCCCTGGTAAGTGCTAAATACCAACTATCCCTAAACTCTGCCTCCCACAGCCATGATGGCATGGCAATTGCAAGGGTAGTGCCTTGCCAACTCATCAGCTACAGCAAAAGTGGATAAGAACACAAGGAATACCTACCTCAGTGTTGATGACAACTTTTCCAGCAGCAAGGGAATGCAAAAAGGTGCAAACAGCGGCGTCACAGCAAGTGTCGTGTGCAGCGCTGTAACGAGCTGTGAGCGGCTCAGCCCATGTTTGTCATCTGGAGCAGGGGTGAAGGAGATGGGAAAGTAGCACGACACAACATCAAACAAATCCTCTGCACCACTCTGCAGGACATCTGGATCCATGCCAGGCAAACTGTACAGCTTCGCAACTGCCTGAAGCAGCACATTAACTGGTCAGCACATGACATCCCAGACTTAGTACGCACAGAGCACTAGGTACTAGCCTTGTTTGAAGGAGGATAGCACAGCTAAGTACAGAACCAAAATTGCACATGTTGATTCCATGATAGTCAACAACAGGCATTTTTGTAGAATTTTATACATCAGTTTGCAGGTCAAATAATAAGCAAGGTTGGGTGCCTGCCAATGGCAATTCACAAATGATCCATACTAGTGGTTACTAAGAGGATTGAGCAAGTGGAGAAACAACGCGCAAAACTTCTCCCACAAGCTGAACAGCACATAATGGACACAAGAAGCATGCCTTGCCACAGGCACAAGCTGCGCTACTGCAGAAACCAATACAGCTGCTTGTTGCGAAATAACCAGCTCACATTGCCAATTCATCAAGTGTATGAGCTCATGCCACCTGTCTGTATTACCGCAACACACTCGAACGCCAGCATTAGGCACCTTGGATCTTTCTCCCCATCCACCGCAGCGATCGTTGCATCAAGAACACTCATGTGTGCTGACAGCACCAAGGTGGAGCCCCAGTCCTGCATAACCAGCGTCCAATCAGGCACACCATCGGACAGATTCCCTCGAAGCAACGGGAACCATCTCCGTAGTACTGAAGAAGATTTCCTACATATGCTGTTATGACAAAGATGTGTAGGTCACCGTCTGTGCAGTACCCTTCATAGTACTTAAAGGATACCTTGAAAACCCTAGCACAGCAGAAGGTGCCTGACATGTTCTCCTGCTTTAAAAACATTCTTGAGCATAGCACAGCAGGAACACGTAGGGTGCAGGAGCAAAGTCCTGCAACTGATGAGCTCCTCTTTGTAGGTATGCTTGCCCACATCGCCTATGCTGTCTTTCTGACACGGGCTGTCGATGTCCCGTTGCGAAAGGTCTGCTTCAGTTTGCAAAGGCACTCACAGATATGAGCTTCAGCAGCAGCTTCAAGGCAAGTTGCCTGTCAGCCTGCTTGTGTTGCTGTATATGAAGCTCCATCGTCAGTGACTCAGCAACGAGGCAAACGATTTCCTCATCTGGCTCTCCATCCAGGAGGGCCTGGCAACCTGCCAATGCCCCGTTGAGAGAAGCCCTGCAGATGAAGATCACAGTGAGCATCAGCAGATGCCAACACGGCAGGGATCATTTTGGCAACAGCCCAGAAACTGCAGGATTGGGAAATCGGTTTCTATGGCATATGTTGAAATTATGGCAATGCACTGCACTGTCATACAGTTGCAGCGTCTCACTGCATAAAGTAAACATAACTGCCGGTGTCAGCATGCACCAAAGCACAGCCTATGTTGTAAAAGAGTCTGCCCTGCACTGTCTCTTCCATGAATGGATGCAGTTCCCATTCCTTGGAAAATGTTGTGATAGCAGGATTTCTGGAGTTTGGAAGATGGCAAATATGCTCACCAGTCAGCAAAACGTGACGTGAAGAAGTCTGCAAGATGTTGCTGTTCAGAGCTGGACAGCTTGACCCCAGATGACACGATCTGTGCATGAAAGTACAAACAGCGTTTGGTGATGTTTTCTGTCAAAACGAGGACTTAGGAGGTGTCACAGAGAAGCCACAAAAGGACTGCCCGTCCAACAGACCGAAAAAATGCCATGCCATGCACTTTTCAGGCAACCCCTTCTGAGCAAGATTCTTGTGAGCCTACTACGCCATGAACGGGAACAAAATGGCACCAGAGATATGGGTCATACAGCGCACCTCTGCAAGCAATGCCACTCCCTGGGCTCGTACAGAGTCATCGTTGGCCGTCAAATATTTCTCCATGAGCACGACCTTCAACGTACCAAAGCAGGCTCCTCTTATTGGCGTGCATGGACGAACAGTCCCAACTATGAACAGTTGAATTCGATCCAATTTGCCTCCAATGCACGGACCCGTGGATATGAATGCCGGCTGCAGGCCAGGACGCAATCAACACCAACAATCTTGCTGGGCAGAAAAGCATCCTGCAGTCGTCCAAAAGCGCGCACAGGCACAGATCAGAAGCAAAAGATTTTCTCCGGGATTGGGCAGGGAATTGCGCACCAATTGCAACAGATTGGTAGCGCCATTCTGGACGCCACTCTTCAGTCGCGCGGCCTTCTCCGCCCGTTCTGGGCTGTCCCGCTCTAGTGACACGCACTTGGACAGCAGGTCCGCCACGTCTTCTCGCTCAGGCATGCCGAAAGCGCGGCGATCGAATGCCGACGGTGGAGGCTCGGCAGGCAATGTACCGGTCTTTACGTTAATGAATTAATGTACATTATCGCAATGCAGCGTTTCCGATCCCTACACACACTCGATCATGCCATCAGCCCTTCTTTCTGACAGGGGTTGCTAACATTACTGGAAGTGGATGCTGCAGACCTCTTGCACTGCGGGAAAAGGGGGCGTCCGCGAGGCGTCCGAGCAGCAACAATTGCTGCAAGTTGCAATCTGATTAAGCGGGATGCTTGTGTGTTTCTGGAGTGTAGGGTAGTCGGTAAGTGTACAGCCAGACCGCGTTTTGCGGCAATGAGGCAACAGAACTGGTTGGACGCTGCTGGTGATAACCTGTGTACACAGCAAATTGTGCATTGGTAGCTTCAGTTTGGCTGCTTTCCAGGCTACTGCGAATACTGTGTTGCGCAAGCTCGCAAACGTGGTGTTGGAAATCCCCATCGTTCAACAAAAAGCGCCCGGTAAAGTTTCAGTCGGAACTGCCCCCACCGTGATGATACAAATGCCAAAGCGTTCCAATGCTGGGAAATCCAGCCTCATGTGCCGATGTATCCATTCTGCTGTGATCTTATTCTGCCAATGCTGGCGATTTCTCCACTACCTCCCATTCTTTCTGCCCGTGGCTGATAGAGCGGATCAGTTCTGGCCTGAGATATCGTCGCTGTTACGACTCCATGATTCCCATTTCTTTAGGGCAAGTGCATGTTAGCGTGTGCATGCTTGGGGTACCGCAATGACACCCACACGTGCTTAATAGCATGAGCAGGATTTTTGTCTCAGAGACAGGGTTCGTTATTTTCAGAAATTGTCACAGATAAATAAAGAAATGATGAATTCGTATTTTCTTTAGTTTTCTTAAGTCAATTCTGCAAATGGCGACGAAAGGCGTTTGCCTCAGGCCTGTGCTTGTTCATCTTCCCATATTTTGTGCAGTCTTGAAGAAAATTCCGTTGATGAGATTCAAGCGGCTCTCCTTTTGAGTGCACACGGGAAGCGCGAATCCACCCATCGCCAATGCCTCAGCGGCGTTGGCACAGAGCCACACGCAAGGCCACAGTGACACTCAACCCGGCCTTACATACTTGCTCGCCCTTCCCACAACGGAGATCCTTTTGCCGACGTCGGCACCAAACACAACCAGAATTCGCGATGCTTTCACGGCCCCCCGTCTGCCTATTCGATCCCCAAGGACCGTCGTCAATCGCAAAGGCCCACACAACGATTCAGCCACATACCACCTCATCACTACAGTGTACCCAAAGTGTTAAACATGCCATCACCATATGGTCGCTTTCAAATGACACCATTGCAAAATGCAGTACAACAATTTCTTGCAGTCCAAATTGAAAAATAAGGCGGTCACAATGCTCGAAAGTTTCAGAAGGATACATCTGAAGCCTCCCCACAAAGTACCTACCTTTGCACCTACCTTTGCAGACAAGACACCATGACCAAGGCATTTCCCTCTCAACTGCATAATGCAATTTCGTGAATCTCATGTTGTACCCATCGAATATGTGATCGAAAATCGCCTCAAGAACCGGATTAGGTCAAACGATCCCAGAATTCAATCAAAGGAAAGGCTTTTAAGACATTTTCATGAACATATCTTTTTCCCTTCCGTCAAAAACTACCAATCTTCTAGCAGAGGATTATGCACATGCTGTGAAACCGCCAACTCAATGCCTTACCACGAACAGTGACATCCTGCCATGAGTAACCTTTGCATGTTTCATACCAACATTTTCCCGCAGCAGTGTTTCTTTTCAGTTCATCTCAAGCAGCACAAAAATGCAAACCAATCGCCAGCCACCAAACACAAATGATCCACCTAGTGAAACGGCGGCCATTATGCGGCTAAGCGACCAGCCGCTGATCTCGATTTCCGGTCGACTGCGCTGGCTTCAAGGGATCGGATTTCAGCGCACGCGCTCTCTTTGTGCGACGTATCAAAACCAGCGCCAGATGACGAGAATTCAAGCCAGAGGCCTCTGCATGGAATGTTCGCATTTGCAGCTACGCGCATGCTTCTGTCTTGAAATTCAAAACCTCAAGCCCGCCGAACATACAGCACATTTTATTCATGACCAACGTTATGGAGCTTGGCAATGCTTTTCGATACTGAGCTCATGTCACATCCCACTGCGTCGCCAGACCCAGTCAGTCCCTGTGCCAAGCAGCGTGCCCAAAACTTATCTTTGTGGTCATTGATCACACCTAGGCCCCCATGGCCCCGTGTCCCTATCAAGCGCCAGTGTTCGGATGAGACCAAAAGTGGCCCCGTCCTTTTTACAGTTTGCCAACGCTGCCCTCTATCTTTCAGTGGTACACGAGCCTCTGCAAGGACGGTGTGAAAAAAGAGTTGGAAGACGCTGCTTCAGCACTGTGTGGAGGAACAGACCATAAAAAGGACGCAACTTTTAAGATTGCGGAAAACCAAACGTGTCATGTTAATCGGTTCGCCATGCTGGGGTAGGTGTCGTTGTTCTGTCGGCCGTTCGTGTCTGATCGGCTGCAGGGCACCGCATTAACAAACAAATCCGGACATTCAATTGTGGACGAAGTATTGGGCGTGACAAGCTGACCAGGCGGCGTGAGCGACGGTTAGGGAATGCAACACAGACATGACAGCGCATGGACAGAAATGACAGAGCGACCTGTTCCGAAGATCTGCTTGGGTAAATCGGAGCAATGGGCATTGACGGCATAGGGCTGGCAACGCAGAATGGTGGAGCCCGAGGGGGCCATGGCGGAGGAGGGTGCAGCATTGAGGATCAAGCCATGCACTTTCAGCGACAACGAGTGGCGTCAACGACCACTTAGGTCAACTGTTGAAGCAGCAAAGTATGGACATAGGGCATCCACTGAATTCCACCTGCGACCCAAGACTTGGTGTCTTAAGTCGTAAATGAGAAAGAGAGTTGGGATATGGACATGTTTTGTGTCTGACTCCACAACAGCTGCTGTGAGCACAGACATCTGGGTATGGCGAGGCTTCAAAGTCAAGACGGCATTAAAACGATTCAGGGTGGGCTGCATGGATCTGTGATGCCATTGCTCGTGGCACTTGACAGCCAAATGGGGCTGCCACCTTTTAAAGCGAAACAAAAGCAAAGATGGCATCTCCTGTGCCATGTGCGGGCATAGAGCAAAGGTCATGGATGTGCTGGGCGAGTGACATCACGGCCTGCGGATCGCCACCTGGGCTCCAGTTCGCATTGAATTTAGTGAGTCAAAAGCATAGAAGGTTGGAGAGGCAATGTTTCTCTGAGTTAGGCTGTGTGGTATACGAAGGGTGATGCAGTATCTGCATGAGGATTATGTGAGAGGATTGTAACTGATACGGAGGGTACCCAAGGTGAACCCAAGGTGCCAAGCAAGGCCATTGATGAGTCCTGGTGGCGTAGGACGAAACAAGTATGGCTTGCAACAGGGACCCGGAGTTCAAATCCCAGCCCGAGCGGTTCTTCGGTCGGGTCCGTATCAGTAACGGCATTCAAATGGGACACGGGGACAGAAGGGGCTGCGAGGGAATCTGATGTGAACTGTCAGAATTTATGCACCTGGGCGCAGCAGGTTGAGATTGGGTTGCGATGCCGTGGTCAAAAGGAAGTGCGCCGCCGGCAGGAGAGGGAGGATGGCAGGGGAGCTGGACAGGGGCTGTGCAGGACAGGGTTGGATGAGCGTATGGCAGCTGAGTCGAAGGGGGTTCCCAGGATAGTTTGGTGCTGTACTAGAACTAGCATGTTGGTATCGTATTGTACCAGTGCAGTTTCCACAACGTCGCTATGCAGTACTACCTACTGCTGCAATGGGCGAATGAGATGTTGCCAAGCAGATCTACATGCAGAGTGGCAGCAGTAGCCGTTTGGCATGAGTGAAGAACTTCTGGCGAATGTCGGTAGACGTTCATCGTCGCACGACACAGCATGACAATTCTTAAGAGTTATGGCTGGAGCCAATCACTGGGCTGCCCTCCACTCCAGGCCTTGCATTAAGACATTCACGATTTTTCACGAGCTGGACAGCCAGTCCGGTCTAAGGCCATCTATACCATCTTCTGAACTTGTCACCAGGTCAGACCTGGCGACTTTTAAGACTCTCAATTGATTCTCTTGCTTTGGATGATACTGTCGTACCTTGTCCATCATCGCCCTCAGCCTTTTGACAGTTTTGCTGCTTCACTGACACGGGTTTACACACCGCTGGAGTCTTTCTTTGCCCGATGACATACAGGCACAGAAACACATACAAGCAAGAAATCTGCAGAACATCTCGTCATGCCAGTGACATGACTTGGAAGGCCTTCGCCAGTGAGTGTATCGATTGCGATCCAGCGATTTGGCAGATTGCAAGACATTAATTGCGTATTACATGAACTATTGTCTTTATTTCGTTCATACCCTGCCCCCGGAACGTGGGAACCAGCTGAGTTTTCTTGAATTTCTGCCATTCATATTCCTTGAGACTAAGCTATACAGCAGCTGTCCCTGTTCAACGGACCCCAGCTGCATTCCTTACTACCTATTTCACACTGTGCACTCGCATTTCCCGAAAACATCTGTACAGATGCCCCACATATCCTCGTTCAGTACTTGAATTGATCATATCAGCCATTGTTGTTCTCATCTATGTAAATCTTCTGCACAGGATTGTGAGTCCCATCGGCTACAGTTGTCCAATCGGATCTACCGACCCTGGCAGCACACGGCGACCAAAAGCTCAAGGCCAGCATCAGTGTCTCCCTCTTTGCCATCGATTGACGCCACTTTGCACCACCCTCTTTCAACACACTCATGCGCCAATAATCTCTACCCATAGCCGATGGACAATGCTCATGTTGGATGTGCAGCATGCATTGGGCATACTGCACTGCAATTACAAGAAATCGCCTCCATTCCCCTGCCCATTTTGTCGTGAACAGTGTTTCGCGATTGCAGATCATGAATCTCTTGTTCCTCAGCCCCTGCGCCTTCTCCGCAGCCTGGGGGGTGGCTCCACATCTTCTTCGCTCCCCTCCGGACTGCGGGGGGTTCTGCCATGGCGCACCCGGCCGTATGTGGGGAGCTCCTGCTCTGTGGGGGTCAAGGTCTGGTTGGTGCCAACCACGTCGTCTTCCTGGCCCCTGCAACACAAACACCCGGTGTCAGATGCTGGGGATTTAGCAAAGGAGCTAAAGCATGGGATAGGAAAGCGGGAAAGTAATATGACACAAAAGGGGGCGGGGGGGAGAATTTGTCGAAATGTGTATGAATAGCAACGTAAAAGGTGTCGCTCAAAACTCTGGCTCTCCTAAAAATGGTCACGATAATAATGAAAATAATAATAAATAATGTAAAATAATAATGTAAATAAAATATAATAAATCAGTAAATAAATAATAATAAAAATAATAAAAGTAAATAGTAATAATAAATAAATAATAATAATAATAATAGTAAGTAATAGTAATAAATAATAAAATGGTAAGTAGTAAGTAATAGTAAGTAAAAATGAAAGTAAAATAGTAATGTAGTAGTAGTAATAATAAATAATAAATAATAAAAATAATAAATAGTAATAATCAAAAATAGTAATAAATAGTAGTAGTAGTAGTAGTAGTAGTAGTAAGTAAACAGTGAGCACACATGAATACACAATGCACGAGTTCGATAGACGATCATCTGGAGCTCTGACAGTCACAGCAGGTAGATCACGACCTGACCAATATTCCTTACATTCGTTATGCAATGCTAAATCACCCAACACATCATTGGCTCTTCAATACATTCAACAGAACAGTGCTTGTCTGACAGCAGAAAGGCTTCAAATATCTTGCTAGTGAATGTGCTAGCAGGCATCAAAAGAATAGTGGCAAGAATCCTGGCAATCCTCTGCATGACCAGGCATTTCAGAGAGTCCTTGCAATTTGTGCGCGTGCAGAGAATGGTGTAATATACACAGTACAGTGCACAACGGTCTGCAGCACATTGGACTATGGTGCCCATGTCACCAAACCATTCCCCGTCCACATGGCCATACTGCTGCTCGTCGATGATGACATCAAGCTCTTCATCGTCTTCCTCCTCTGATTCCGCCCCTGCCCACATCGAATTTTGTGTCTGGTGTTGAACCCCCTGCCCTCCATCAGATTCCCTCGCTTCACCGAGGTCATCATCGCTCTCTTCTGAGGCCCCAGAGGCTTCGTGGCCATCCAGGCCTGGCCCCCCGAAGGATGGGGACACAGCTTGTCCATTCGCCTGAGCCACAGGAGAAGACGCGAAGGGTCAATATATGTCTTGGCTACCAAAACAGGACAAACTGCAGCCTATGCACCTGGAAGGTAACAATGGGCTCGGTGCCAGCAGCAGTGTCTTTCCCAGCATCAATGCTCCAAGACAAACTGCCGCAACATGTGCTACACTGCAATGCCTATTTTAGGCTCTTACAGACTGCCAGCAAGATGATGCCATCTTAGAAGCCGAGTTTGGTGGAGACACGCCTCACAAACAGTGCTTCAGTTTCCTGGATGCTTTCATTCAATGCATCCATCCCCACTGTTAGCAGTTTCAGGTGACAGAGGGGGAATTGTGGAAATTACATTATTGAAGCACGACTGGCTTTTTCACACACTATCGAGGAAATTGGCTTGTTTCAGCACTAACAACGGGGAGCAAAAGACGCAATGCGCAACTTCTCTAGCTGTCAGCCCCAGTTGCAAATGGGAAACAATCTGTCTCCTTTGTGCCAACAGCACAGTGATCTCGCCGCCTTCGTTGTTGACGATGTCAAAAGCACAATGATCAACTTACCTTGAGGAAGACAGGGGAGATCTAACCAATTGAGTTGGAACTGGACTTGACTTGGGAGCGGTCCACAGTCCTAATTTCTGTTCTGCTGCTAGCTGCTCAGGGATTCGAGTTGAAACAAGAGCACGCAGCACCAAATGTACATATTTGCCATCATTCTGGCATGCGCAAAGCACCTGTCACCACCTCTAAGTCCCAAGGGCCATGCCTTGCCATTTCTGCACAAACAAAACCAACAGTACTTGAAATGTCCTCCTGGCTCTCCAATGCACGCTCACCTCCAATTCATCCTCAGAGCCAGATTCTGCAGGCGTCCCAGGCTCCTGATCGTCCTCACTGTCTTCCTCCTCCTCTGCCCTCAGTTCTCGCATCAGTGCATCTCCACGATCATCCCCAGCGCCGGCATCGTCCCCTGCCAAGTTAGGGTAGCACAAATTGAAAATTTTGGATTACAATCAATTACGTATCAATTACAATGAAATCGAATCAGTCAATTTGTTTAACTGCCAATCAATCAAGTTGTCGCAATTTAATGGGGACTAAATGCACATTGGCTGAGTTGGCTGAATGCACATTATCACCAGCGGAAAAGAGCATGTTTGCGATGCGAATTGCGATGCCATTTGACACAAATTGATGCCATCACAGCCGCTTTTATGCCATCGCAAGCACTGTGACGGCACCATTTTGTGTCCAAACTGGCATCGCAGTTGGCATCACAAACATGCCTTTTCCTACCAGTGTATTCAGCAATCAAATGTTCATAGTTAATTGCACTCCTGCATTATCACTGATCATGTTATAGAGATTCTGCATGTGGCCATGCACCTGACATTGCCTTGAAACTGCAAGAGTTGCTTGACACCTTTCAACAAATGCAGTCAAGAGTGCCCTTTCTGGAAAGTTGGTACGTCAGTGCTGTGATACAGACTATTTCGCTTGACCACAACTTGCAATGGTACCAAACTGCAGTACTTTGCTATGCCAATCTTGCTTGAAGGGGGTTCAAGGTTTACATGGTTTGCACACACAAACACTTCAATTTGTGTAATTTTCGCTTCCTGACTTTCCCTCAGATATTTCAGAGGTGACCCTACAGCGGCTATTGACACTTGGACCTTGACTTCACGATTGTCTTCGCATGAACCAGTAGCACAACATTTTCAGTCCTTGATATTACTGCGCAACAGCAACACACAGAAGCACACACATCTCTGAAGTTCCTATTGTATCCCCACAAGAGTTCCCCTGCAGTTATGAGCTCCTAATTCAGTAGAACACAGACATTCGACTTCTGCAGACTAGACGGCACAATGCATGTGCTGGGAGAGGCTCCGTTTCACATTCTTTTTCCTGCAGGATCATGTTCTCTTTTACCCACTATCCATAATTATACACCCACGGCACTAGCTATCCATATTATCTATAATTGAGAATATCAGTAAATACTCTTTAACCATTATTACCTGGAGCAGTTTGAATCTTCAGCAGCAAACTAATTAATCGATCAGTGCATCGATCGTTGATCGAACAATCCTTCAGTAAATCTTTCGATCAATTCACTAGTCAGTCAATCAATTCAAGCAAGCAACACAAACACACCTGCCAGGCCACCTTCACGCTCAGGTCCCTCATCATCGCCCCACTGAACCCGAGAGACTCGTGTCGTGCGGCGGGCCTTGCGGCCGTGGCTGGGACGGGATCCAGATCTGCCTGCATCTGCGTCGTCGGCGTTGGCGGGGGGAGAGGGCGGGGCAGAATGGGAGGCTCTTTGCCGTGGTCCCCTCTGGCCACCTTTCGTCTTCAAGATGCCCCGGACTGCCTTCTTCTGTTTGACACGACCCTGCACCGTGGGCCCAGACAAAATGCAGCTGTCAAGGATCGAAGGATAACTGGCACCTCACTGAAGATATTTTGAAGCTCCACAGCAAATCAGCAATGGTTGGTGTCGCGCTGACTGTTCGTGTTTGGTCCGCACTCAGTCGCTCCCAGGCATGGGAAGCAAGACTGTAACCAGATGCACTGCAGGACGAGTGTGTCAGTTAAGTAAACGTACTCACGAAACCATTCGTTCCATTCCCCTCCCATTTCTCCATGTACATGTCACCATAACACCATCACCATATTCACCGTGCCAAACTCCACCATGTGTCTCCATATGTCACACAATCACTTATTAATTGTTCTTTCGACCTCACAGTTGGATTGAGAGAAAATTGCCAATTGAGCACATCTGCACGTTCCAATCACCTAACAGCATCGATGAAGGTTCAGATGCGCATCTTTGGTGACAGCAATCATCAAAATGTGGCAAGCTGTCACTCTCATGGGAACGCGGAACGCCCCTCACAAGCTCAGGTGCTGGCACCAAGGAGATCTTGCTCCCATTCAGTGGCACACAGCCATGAGCTCTGGTGCACAGCTGTGGTGCAAATTGACTGAAAGAACGATGAAGGCTGGAAGAACAACAATCAATGCTCTGGACGCACACATGACCATCATCGCAAGCAATGTCCAATGGCTTTGTCACATGAAGGCATGAGTACAAGCACAGGGAAATGTAGATAAAATGAGAGAAATAGAAGTCAGTACAATGAAGAGAAACGCCCTGAAAGTGCAAAAATAAGAGTAAGCATTGATTTTCTGTGATCTTCTGAGCAGCACAGGATTCCACCCCTCCACGACAGCATTCCGAGGAGCTTTCAAACGGCTCAGGAATTTGAGACCAACAAAAGAGACTGATGAAAGTGTCTCCTCAGTGTGGACCAAGTTGCTGACCTTCAAGACGTCAGTGAAGTCGAAGAAGGGCGCCCATTCTTCCTTGCCTGGATCGGTGCCTTTAGCCTGTGCCCAACGTTCAGCCATATGGAGGGTGTCCTCCGCATCTCTGGAACACAGGCAGTCAGCAACAAGAAAATCACCAGACTGATGCACTGATGATACAATAACAATCACTCTTGAGTTGATGCAGAAATTGGCTTTGTCACACTTGAAAATTCCCATCTTGTTTCTTCTGCACCAACAAAACTGTTGCATGACAAAAGGTGTAACAGCAACCAGCAATATTCAGTACAATACCATCTTTTCTGCACATGCAGACATCAAAGTGACAACAAAGCAAGGCAACAGACAGAACGAAATATTGCCCAAGGGAAAGTTAAAACATCAAACAAGCACAAGCATAAAGGATCAAATATGCACCGTAGGGTACATCAACCCATGAACATTGCATCTTGGACAGCAGCAACTTTTCACACCTGCTGGACATCCTGGAAACGAATGGCGGCAGGCCTGCTGACAGGAACTCCAGCCTCCGGGGTGCATCTTCCAGGCCGTGTCTCACACCCTTGTCCACAATGCTGATCACACCCTGTCTTGACGCTGTGCTGAATCCAAAACTAGCAAACATCTGTGCAATAACGTGGCACAGCCTGCAACAGGACAATGAAGGACTATGAGGGAAGATGCATTGTACCCCAACCCACAGGTGTATGTACCACGTTCTTTATGCATGCTCTACTATCCACTGTGTACTTCATCTTTGCTATGTTTGTTGACGTTCATGTATATCTGTGCACTATTGTTTTCAAGTAGGGTTGACTTGAACACAGTACAAAGTACTGTAACATACTACATGGCTACTCTAGTCACTTTCAGTGGGCTGTTTAGTTGCTTCAATGCTTTGTTCACATGATTGCGAATTGCAGTTTGCGATCACTTCACTTTAGCAGTACTTTGGTCACATGCATATTTCGGTCACCTGCGGCTGCAGGACTGACACAGTGCTCTGCATGTCAAGGTGTGAAAAACAGTGCCCTATCAACGAAAGAGCAGGACTTGTCAGGCTTTTAGCCAAATCGAATAACAGAGAACTCACCTATATTTGCCTGCATACTTTTACCATTCCTACCCGTACTTGACCTCACTTACCTCTCTGTGTCGAACATGTCTGCTTCAGCACTTCAGTCACATACTGGTGTAAACATTGGCAGTTTCCAAGAACGGTTTCACAGGACTTGCCTGGCAAAGCCCTCCAGGGCAGCCTCCCTCTCGTTGTCCGTGTGGGCCTCAAGGACCGTCTCGAAGGAGTGGCTCATTGCCCCAAAGTATAGCTCGGGCGCCAGGGCCGGGTTCACCCTCTTTGCCTGCCTCACGACAGCGCGCACCACCTCGGCCACACCCTCATGGGGTTCGGCCATCTGGGCGACAAAAGTGGAGGCCAGCCAGGAGTTTGGGGAAATGGCGTCATGAGCGACGAGGCGGCCGATGATGGACATGGACTTGATGTCATCGTTGTTGGCATCTGGTTGGGGCAGAGCCACAAGGTTAGTCACCCCAGTGCCAAAATCGGAGGCTGCAACGTTGTGCATGACTGCAGAACCAGCTAACTTTTTAATTCTGCTGTTGGAACACTGCTAAACAACATAAAACGATGCTAATGAAAACAGCACACCAACAATACTGCTGGCACCACTAGTGATCCGAATAGGATAGAACACTTCCGATTCTCATAGTAATAGTGTCACCGCTGCCACCACAGAAGTATTGATCAGCAATGTCAAGCAAGTCCACCTCCCCTACCGAAGTTGCATTCACAGAAATAACAACAAAATTAAATACACAAACTAACCATATGTATGGCCATAACAATAACAGCAACCAATATTGATCCATACCCATATTCATTCTTTACATATTTACACATGCAACAGGCAAACAACAATCACCGACATCTGTCCATGGCTCAAATCTGCGAAAAACTCACAAAAACAGCTGCAACTACCACTCCATACCCATGCTTGGGCATTCACCAAATGCATGGGCAGTCAGTGAATGCATGCCAACTCCTTAATTCATGCATGCATAACATACCTGTTTCTGATGCCAATTCTTCAGGACTCTCCTGCTCCTGAGCGCCCTCCCCAGAGCCCCTCGCCGCATCCACCCTCTCATTGCAAATCTCCCACACTCGCCTGAGGGCCTGATCGGCCGGTTGGAATGCCAGCACCTCCATGTTGGTGCCACCTAGCCTGCGCTCGCTGAACATGACACACACATCCACAAATGCCTGCGTCGCCAGCAGCCGTGCCCCCTGCCCCACCTCTTCGCTCCCCATCGCCCATTCCAGCTGCCGAACTAACATGGCCCTTTCCCTCAACAGCCCATCCACGCAAGTCTCATCGCCGCCCTTCACCCTTGCCATTCCCCACATCACCCACAGCAGCATGCTGCGCAGGATGGGCTCGGCCACCCTTGGGCCCACAGCTGAGCAGGTCTTCAGCTTCTCGAGGACCTTGGACAGGGTTCGGAAGCCCGAGTCGGCAGAGGCGACTGAGCAGGAGTTTTTGCACAGGAGGCAGGAGAGGCGGGT